CGCGGGCCCGGCCTGCGGCGGCCTCCGCGAGCCGGCGGCCCGGGGTCAGCGGAGGGGTCAGTCCGGGGACTGCTTTGAGAAAAGTTTGGCGCTGTCAACAAGTAGGTGGAGGCTGGCCTTCCTGGTGGCTCGCCGCCCCGTGCCCTGCGGTTGGAGCTGCTGGAAATGGGGGGTACCGGGTCTGAGCGAAGGTTCGAGAAACGCACAAGGTTGCCCTGTTTTGCACCTCTGGTTTCGGCTTCGTGTCCGTGGACTCTGACCCTCGGTCTAGCCGGGGCCGCCCTCCTGTCGTGTCCTCCCGGTCCAACCCCAGAGCAAGCCTCCCCGGTGGGCACGGACTCTGGCCAGACCTTGGGGCCTGAACCTTTTAACCCACCCCATTCCTCTGCGAGGAGGTGGGGAGGGCGGGTGGCTATGCTGAGGGGAGACTGAGGCTGCCCTTGGGCCATCTGACCCCATCCTGGGAAAGGAGGGTGAGCTCCGAAGGAAGCAGAGCAGAGCCTGGGGCCCAGCCCTGGCAGCTCCCATCCTAGCAGAGGGCACCCAGGGCTCAGGGCTGGTTGTGTAGCTGCGCTGCGTAGCCTGGGGCTTGAAGCTCACTCATAACCAGACCAGAACTTGAGGGTTATACACGCTTTAGAACCATGACAGAGGCCATTATTCACCCGGGAGCTAAGACAGGCTGCAGGAAGAGAAGGATTTTCAAACCAGTGATTCCTTGCTCTTTGGTTTTACTTTTGGTTTGGTGTCAGCCCGAAGGACTGCCAACTTGTATTAGGATAGTACCCAATCTGGCCCCAAGCCAAAACTGACTTTTTGTTGTAAAACTTGAGATGACAGCTGAGCACCCATGGCTCATACCTGTCATCCTAGCTACTCTGGAGGCTGAGATCTGAGGATCGTGGCTCAAAGCCAGCCCAGGCAAGAAAGTTCTCAAGACTCCAATAAACCACTAAAAAACTGGAAGTGGCGCTGTAGCTCAAGCTGTAGAGCGCTTGCCCTGAGCTGAAGAGCTGAGGATAGCACCCAAGCCCAGAGTTCAAGCCCCATAACCACCACCACCACCAAGAACAACAACAAAAACCAACCAAACAAACAAAAAACTTGAAACGATTTGCCTATACCAGTTTTCATTTGGGAAGGGGAGGGGGCAGGCCGAGGGACAGCCCAAGGCTTGGGAAAGGGACACCCGGCAAACAGTGGGCAGGTTTGTCCTGGAGTTTGCCAGTCCCCCGGACCTTACCTGGCCTTGTTCCTGCACCAGCACCCTTGCTGTTCTGGCACAGACAGCGTCATGTCCCAAGGTGCAGGTCCAGGGACAGGGGTGTGAATGGCTGAGTACCCACCTCCCACTGTGGGCCCAGGTTCCACAGATTTAGAGCAATTTCCAGCAGTGGTTTCTCAGCATTCACTAAGGAGTCCTTGGAAGAGAAAATCTGTGCCCCACCCCCCAGAACCCCCTTGTCCCTACTCTTCCAACTGCTGTCTGTCCTCACAGCTATGACATGGTTCATTACGGTCACTCAAACCAGCTGCGCCAGGCTCGGGCCATGGGTGACTACCTCATCGTGGGCGTGCACACTGATGGTAAGGTGTGGGCCACTACCCCACGCTGTAACCAGACTAACCTTCCCAACTGGCCAGAAGCCTGGTCAGAACTGGGGGGGGGGGAGGGGCAGCCCTGGGCCTCCTCCCCGGAATGCACCTGTGAACGGGAGACTAGCAAGCTCCATTTATCCTGGCCCCAGCTGAAGATGTCCCCCTCTAGAGAGCAAGCTAGAGACGAGGGCCAGGTCATTGCCAGCCCCAGCCCCTCACCCCTCATCCCTGACCCCTGCCTAGAGCCTAAAAAGATGGAATGTCTTGCTTGGTAAAGGACCCTCAGTGCACAAGCTGGCCGCAGGACAGCAGTGGCCACTCACATATGGGCTGAGGCCCCGCAAGCAGGGCAGGTGGCCCCACACCCTCTCAGTGCATGGAAAGGGCTCCTGAGCAAGATGCCAGGGAGCCGGAGGTCACCTGTCCTGTCCTTGTTTTCTCTGGCTCCAGAGGAGATTGCCAAGCACAAAGGACCCCCAGTGTTCACCCAGGAGGAGAGGTACAAGATGGTGCAGGCCATCAAGTGGGTGGACGAGGTGGTGCCCGCTGCGCCCTATGTCACCACGCTGGAGACGCTGGACAAGCACAACTGTGACTTCTGTGTCCATGGCAGTGAGTGGGCGGGTCCCGGGAACCTCGGGGGCGGGGGGGGGGGTAGCCCTCCTGGCCCTGAGGGCTCAGGTCTAAGAAAGCTCGGGTTGTTCCCTAGGAATGGAGGCACAAACACTAAACACTAGGATGAGGTGGGGACTAGAAGGGTTTGGGGCCCTGGGGGGCGGTTCTGGGGTCCCACTTGAGCCAGGCATGGCAGTCCACACCTTATTTTAGCACTCAAGTGGCAGAGACGTGAGGATCAGAACAGCCGGGCTAGATGGGAAGACCCTGTGTGAGAAACAAACCCAGCAAATACCTTTTGTGTGTGTGCGCGTGCGTGTGTGTGTGTGTGTGCGCGCGCGCACGTGTCACCCCTAGATGACATCACATTGACTGTTGATGGCCGAGACACCTATGAGGAGGTGAAACAGGCTGGGAGGTACAGGTAAGCTCCTAGCTGGCCTGACACTTCAGGAGCTGGTCTTGAGTTCCCTCCTAGCTCTACTGCATTGGGATTGTACGGGAGGGCTGGGGAGGGGACTCAGTGGTAGAGTCTCGCCTGGCATGCATGAAGCCCTGGGTTCCATTCCAAAGTACCACAGACAGAAAAGTCAGAAGTGGTGCTAGCCTTGAGGCCCTGAGTTCAAGCCCCAGGTCTCGGGGGGGGGGGGGGGGGAGATTGTAAGGGAGATACATCTGGGCCAGGTCTGGAGCCTCCAGGGAGGATCTTGCTGTGGCACTGGCTGTGTGGCTGGCCTCAGGGCTTCAGAGTAGTGCCAAGTGAGCATGGTGGTGCCCCGCCCCAGAAGCTGGCTTTATGTTAATTAGCTGTGATTTAAAGGGCCAGCCGTGGCTAGGTTCCTGCATGGGATGGTGCATCCCAAATCCCCTTGGTGTGAGCTCACCAGTGGGCACCACAGCAGACTGGGGTCAGGGCTGCTGTGCCCACACCCGACCACTGCACACATGGGCTCAGCCATGCCCTTGATGCTTTGCTCAGGCCATTTGCTTTTTGCTGATAAAATGTTAATGCTTCCTCTATGCTCCCAGTTGGATTTGCTGGGGGGCGGGGGCGGGGCAGGGCTAGGGTCGCGTCCCTCAGATGGGTCTGCAGTAGGCAAGCCTGGTAAGTGTCTGGGACAAGAGCCCACCAACCCCACCTCTGCCCCCAGAGAGTGCAAGCGCACCCAGGGTGTGTCCACCACAGACCTCGTAGGCCGCATGCTGCTGGTGACCAAGGCCCACCACAGCGGCCAGGTGAGTGCCGGCCCCGGCAGGGGGGTGGGGGGGGAGGGAGAGGGAGGGAGCTCCTCCCACCCAGGGCCCCCTGTCTGCCTGCCCTCCCCACCCATTCTGGGGACGGGACGAGCCCCCTCAGCCCTGTGCCCTTGTGTGCAGGAGATGTCCTCCGAGTACCGGGAGTATGCGGACAGTTTTGGCAAGGTGAGTGGGCCTGGCTGGCCGTGTGGTGACCTGCAGGCTTTCCTCCTGGCCTCTTGGGAGAAGTTGGGCCCCCCTCCTCCCTTCCCGGTGCTGCCCAGGTCGTGGCTGAGTCGGCGGGCTCAGCCTGCTGGTGGAAGCTGGGAGGGAAGACAGGCAAGAGATGGCCATTCACTGCGGCCATGTCCTAGAGGGGTAGCAGGGACTGCCCAGGACCAGGTGGCCTCTAACCAAGCAGCTTGGCCCTCTCTGCACCTGCCGGGGACCCACTTCCCCCGGAAGTCTCCTTCCAGGTGATCAGATGGTGGTCTCGGGGTGCCAGGTCCCCCACAGGTCTGCCTGCTGGCCGTGTCTCTGTGCCTGCTGCTGGTGGGCTGGCAGGCTGAGCTGGTGCTGGCTGCAGCACAGAGCCCCAGTCCCGCAGCCGCAGTGACAGCCTGGGCTGGCCACCTGTGTTTCCCGCCGGCCCCAGGTGCCTGGGTGGACGTGGCCTGCTGCGCACCACCCCTGCACACGCTCCTGCTACCCACACGTGGTGCACAGGAGCATGCTCGCGAGATTTCTACGCTGACCTGCTCCCTCTCTTGGCTGACAGTGCCCGGGGGGGCGGGACCCCTGGACAGGGGTGTCCCAGTTTCTGCAGACGTCCCAGAAGATCATCCAGTTTGCTTCCGGGAAGGAGCCTCAGCCCGGGGAGACTGTCATTTATGTGGCGGGCGCCTTTGACCTGTTCCGTATCCTTTTCCCGGCTTTCCATCCTCCACCCATGCCAGAGGTCCTTGGCCACAGACCCTCGGGTCTCTGGGGCCGGGCCTGTGGCGGGCCCATGGGTGCCAGCCTGGGGAGGGGGGAGCCCTGACTTTCCAGTCCATTGCTGTGTGTCTGTTGTTTTGCTTTTCTCCACCCCTCCCACCCCTCTCCTCTCCACCTCGCGTGTGCTCTGCCCTAATCAGACAGTTTCCCTGTGTAGTTCAGACTAGCCTTGAATCAGATCCTCCTGCTCAAACCTCCTCAGTGCTAAGACTGCAGGCATGTACCACCACACCCAGAGTTGCTGCTCCTTAACTGGACACAGACATTGGGCACGTGGACTTCCTAGAGAAAGTGTACCGCCTGGCAGAAAGGCCCTATGTCATCGCTGGCCTCCACTTTGACCAGGTCTCTGCTCTGCCCGGCTCCCCAGCATTTCTGGTGGTTGGCAGGCTATCAGAGCCCTTGGGGAGGCTTTGAGGGGCCAGCGAATCCCTGGAGGAATGAGACTCCAGATGCCTGGAGAAGATGCTGGGCAGGCCCAGGAGCCAAGGGCCATCCTGGTGGCGGGGAGGACGGGGCCTCGCTCCCCCCGTGCTCCAGAGGAGCTGACCCCGCTCTGGCCCTAGGAAGTGAACCGCTACAAAGGCAAGAACTACCCCATAATGACCCTGCACGAGCGGACCCTGAGCGTGCTGGCCTGCAGGGTGAGCAAGGGCGGCGGCCGGCCTCACCTCCCGAGGCTTCCCCGACCAGGTGTGGGTGCTGCCCAGCCTAGTTGGTAAAGTGGTTGGGCTGCCTGGGTGTCGCCGCCCCATAGGGACCCAGCCCCACACCTCTGAGCGCCGAGCCCCGTAGCCAGAGCCATGAGCCTCTGTGCTGTTTCCACAGTACGTGTCGGAGGTGGTGATTGGGGCTCCATACTCTGTCACGGCTGAGCTCTTGGGTCACTTCAAGGTGAGAGGCTCCCCAGGAGGGGAGGGGAGGGGAGGGAAGGGGAGGGCGCCTGACTTCCTTCCTCGCTCCCTTCCCAGGTGGACCTGGTGTGTCATGGCAAGACGGAAGTTGTGCCTGACAGGGACGGCTCTGACCCCTACCAGGTGGGTGGCCCTGGCTCCCGCCACTCACCGGCGCCCTTGGCTGCCCCAGGGACAAGGACAGGCACATGGTGCTGGCTCCCTCTGGGGCAGCAGGCCTGTGCGGCCCTGGTCCTCACTGCACCTCCCCTCGAGCCTCTAGGAGCCCAAGAGAAGAGGCATCTTCCGCCAGATGGACAGCGGCAGCGACCTCACCACAGACCTCATTGTGCAGAGGATCATCAAGAACAGGTAACACACCCCACCGCCCGCTGCCCGCTGGCCTGGCTGTGGCCCCTCCTGCAGCTCTGATGGCAACCCGGGGCCTCCAGGTTAGAGTATGAGGCGCGCAACCAGAAGAAAGAAGCCAAGGAGCTGGCCTTCCTGGAGGCCAGGAGGCAGCAGGAGGCACAGCCCGCCGCAGAGAACGCGTAGGCCTCACCGGAGGACTTACCTGGCGCACGGGCACCCGGGGCCACCCCGTTCTGCCTCTGCCTCTCAGTTGGGTTCACGGGGTTCTCATGGGAGTGGCGGTGCCACGTCTCCCGGGCCTGGCTCCTGTGCGGCCAGCCCATCTGCCTGCAAGGCGCCCAGGCCTGTCCAGCCCCTTGGTGCAGCCCAGAAGGCCGGACCAGCAGAGGGCGCTGCCACGCCAGGGGCTCATGGAGGCCGCTTCCGTCCATCGGTGCCCTGCCGCTCCCTGTGGTGAACATGGACACCTGTCCCGCCCGCCCGGCTGCAGGAGGCGCAGAGGAGGTGGTTGTGGAGCTGGGGTGTGGGCTGCTCCGCGGGGCCTGGCCCACCGGGGGCAGGTCCTGGCACCTCATGCCTGGCTCTGGGGAGATGCACGTGCCCGGCTGCCGGGCCTGCCGGCTGCCCTGTCCTCAGACCTCCACCTCCATTCTGCACCTCCGTGGCTGGTGTGAGTCTCTGGGCCACCGAATAAAGCTTGACGGGAAGTGCTGTGTGAGACCCAGCCCGGCAGGATGCAGGGCGACCCCGTGTGCCCGCCATAAGGGCCCATGATACGTGGAGTCTGTCCCGCCCCTCAGTGGGAGCTGGGGACTGGCTGGCTGCCCTGAGCCCCAGGGCCCGAGGGCGCCCCGCCCAGGCCCCCAGCTCTGAGCCGGAGCAGCAGCAGCCTGGGGACAAAGGGGCTCCTGACCAGAGGCCCTGCAGCCTGCGGTGCAGCCCCCGCTTGCGCCCCCAGGAAGGCTACTGCTGGCCTGGTCCTCCGGAGGGAGAGCCAGAAGGCCAAACCCCAAAGCAGGCCCTGCCCCACTGCACTCCTGGGGCCGAGTCGGCAGGTCCTGAGGCCTGTAGTGTCACCTGGGTGCACGGAGGGTCAGAGGCTTTGGACACCGGAGGGAGCCAGGGCCTAGAACATCACCCAGATGCCCTTCCTTCCCTGGGTGGGGGAGCGGGGAGGGCGAAGTGAGCCTCTGCTTGCCTGGGTAGGAGGCCGGGGCGCCACAAGTCTGCACAGGCTTCCCAAGTACCTCAGAGGAGGCAGGTGGCGGGCGAAGTATGTAAATAGGGGGTGCACACGTGCCCAGTGCAAACTTGCCAAGGCTCAGGATGGGGAAGGCGACAGCTGAGGATAACCCAGGGACACACTCGCAAGGAATCTGGGTTGAGGGTTCCAAGGTGCGCTGTGCAGGCAAGGCCTTCATGGGCACGAGGAAAGCTGAGCTGCTGGGAGGAGCTGCCACAGAGGCGGGATCACCCCAGGGGCAGGCTGGCGTGGGGCAGGCCAGGCTGGGGCCTCAGGGTGGACCCTGCCTGTCAGCCCATCAACTCGACGTGTGTGAACAGTCGGGTGTGGCAGGGGCAGCCCTCGGGCACAGCTCTGTGAGCCCCTGTACAGAGGGGGCTGGAGGCCCTGGTCTGCGCCAGGGCTGACATCCCCAGACCTGGGCCACCACTCCCGCAGTAGTGCCCCGGCCCAGCATGGGCTGCCCTCTCTACCATCCCCATGGCAAGGCCCCATGCTGGCGCTGGAGGACAGGCCGGACCTCTGGAGTCCATCTGGGCAGCCACCAGCAGTGCCCAGCTAGCTGGGCCTCCACCAGGAGAGATGGGCTGGCTGATGGCCAAGCCCTGTCCTCCACTGCTACAGACACAGCCGGGGCACCTGTCTGGCCAGGCTCTTGTCTGATCTCGTGGTGACCCAGAATTCCATTATAAATATGTGCGAGTTTTCACACCAAAACACACTTTCGCTAATATACCAAAAACACAGGCTCCAGACTTCTGGGAGTTTTACTTTATTGAATAGAAACTTGGCCGCCGGGCGGTGTCAGCACGGGCGGGCGGGCTCGCTCACTCCTTGAACTTCCACTCCTGGCGGCACATGGGGCAGTGCTGCTGCACCTGCTGCGCGTTGAGCCACTTGAGGATGCAGTGCATGTGGAAGCAGTGCGAGCACTGGCCCCACACCAGCGGGCAGTCGTCTCCCGGGACCTTACCTGCGGGCGGGGGGGGCATCAGGCCACCGGCTGGATCCAGGGCTGACCACCCCACAAAGCACCGCAGGTGGTAAGCCAAGGTGGTGGAAGCCTCCAGCACTCAGCCCGGAGAGGCAGAAAAAAGGCCCCTCCCAGGCCCCAGGCCTGTCTCCACACCTGGCCCAGAGGGGCAGGTGGGAGAGGGTGAGGACCCGTCCCTAACAGCAGGACCCAGGTCTGGGCCAGCCAACTCTCTCCCACCTCCAGCAGGGCACAGGCTGCAGGCATCCAGTCCACCCCAGGGCCCACCCCGGGGCCTGACATGGCTGATTCCATTCACAGGGTGCAGCGAAGTAGGGGAAAGTCCCAGTCCTGATCAAGAGCAACGATGATCCCTAATTTCTTTCTATTTTTTGTTGGCTGTGGGTCTTGAACTCTGGGCCTGAGCGCTGTCCCGTCCCTCAACTCTTCAGCTCAAGGTGAGCGCTATACCACTTGAGCCACAGCACCACTTCTGGCTTTCTAGTGGCTTATTGGAAATAAGAGTCTCACAGACTTTCCAGCCCGATCCTCAGATGTCAGCCTCCTGAGTAGTTAGGATGACAGGCATGAGCCACTGGCACCTGGCGTGATTCCTAATTTCTGCGCATCTGAAGCACCCTTCCGAGGAGCTTGTTTGAGCAGCACAGAAAAAAAATACCTCTGGGTCCTGTTTCTATCGGGGTTAGGCTGACTGGCACCAAGGGGCTAGCTCTATCTGCTTCCAACCTGTCCTGGAGCGCCAACCCCCAGACACCTCCCTCCTCAGAGGGTCTTTCCACCTTCAGCAGAGCCCTGCTTAAAATCACCCCTTCCCAGTGAGCATGAAGCTGGGGGGCCCTGGAAGGGGCACTCAGCCTGTCCACCAGCAGGAAGCTGGTGTGGCCCTGGGTCTACGTCACGCAAGGATGGGCTAGTGTCTTGATGAGGCTATTTTAAAATTAAAACACCCCTCGGCTGGGAAGGTGGCTCAGTGGTAGAGCACTTGCCTTGCATGCCTGAGGCCCTGGGTTCAATTCCTCAGCACCACATAAGCAAAAAGAAAAAAGCCGGAAGTAGTGCTGTGGCTCCAGTGGTAGAGTGCTCGCCTTGAGCTGAAGAGCTGAGGGACAGCGCCCAGGCCCAGAGTTCAGGCCCCACAACCAGCAAAAAAAAAGAAAATAACCACCAGGAAGCTGGGCACCAGTGGCTCACACCTGTAATCCTAGCTACTCAGGAGGCTGAGATCTGAGGATCATGGTTTAAGGCCAGCCCTGGCAGGCAAGTCTGAGACTCATCTCCAATAAAGCACTAGAAAACTGAAAGTGGCGTTGTGGCTCAAGTGGTAGAGCACTCGCCTTGAGTTGAAGAGCTGAGGGACAGCGCCCAAGCCCAGAGTTCAGGCCCCACGACCAGACTCCCCCCCAAAAAAAAAAAAACACCCCTTAACAGGACTGTTTTACCCAAAGGCCCTTTGGGAAGACTTAACCTTGGTAACTTGGGTTCACATGTTGAACATGTTCAATTAAAAAATTAGGGCTATGCCAGGTGCCGATGGCTCACGCCTGTAATCCTAGCTACTCAGGAGGCTGAGATCTAAGGATTGTGGTTCAAAGCCAGCTCGGGCAGGAGAGACCATGAGACTCATCTCCCATAAACCACTAGAAACGAAGTGGCGCTGTGGCTCAAGCAATAGAGCGCTCACCTTGAGCTGAAGAGCACAGGGACAGCACCCAAGGCCAGAGTTTAAGCCCCACGACCAACCAAAAAAAAAACCACACACATACACAAAAAAATCTAGGAGTTCTTAATCTGCCAGAAGGTACATCAGACCTGTCAAACACGCACATTAAAACACTCATTCTAGCAAAGCCCGGGTAGCTCGCACCTTAATTCTAGCTACATAGGGGACTGGGACCTGAGGATCATGGTTCAAAGCCAACCCAGGGAAGGAAAGTCTGTGACTCTTATCTCCAATAAGCCATTCAGAAAAAAACGGAAATAAAATTGTGGCTGGTAGAGCACTAGCCTTGAGCAAAAGCAGCTCAGGGCCAGTGCCCAGGCCCTGAGTTCAAGCCCGGCACCAAGAAAAAGAAAAAAAAAGGCTTTTGAGAGCTGCTCAAGGCCAAGAGCTTGAAAGCTGCTTTAAGTTCTCGCCCTCAAGATGGTTTTTTGGTTGTTGTTTTTTGTTTGTGCCGGTCGTAGGGTTTGAAACCCAGGGCCTGGGCGCTGTCCCTGAGATTTTTACTCAAGGCTAGTGTTCTACTATGAGTTACAGCTGCACTTCCAGCTTTTTGGTGGTTAACTGGAGATAAAAGCCTCACACTTGACGGCCTGTGCTGACCAGACGTCGACCCTCAGGTCTCGCCATGAGTAGCTAGGATTACAGAAAGGAGCCGTGGGTGCCCTATCTTCGTAGCATCTTTAAGAGTGATTTATTATTTTGCCAGTCCTGGGGCTTGGGCTCAGGGCCTGGGCTCTGTTCCTGAGCCTTTCTATACTCAAGGCTAGCACTCTACCACGTGAGCCACAGTGCTACTTCTGAGTTATTGAGTAACTTATTGGAGCAAGAGTCTCATGGACTTTCCTGCCAGATTGGCTTCAAACCACTGTAATCCTCAAATCTCAGCCTCCTGAGTAGCCAGGATTACAGGTATAAACCACTGGCTCTGACTTGAGTGATGTGATCTGTGTGCGTGGCTGTTACTGGGGCTTGAACTCAGGGCTTGTACTCTTGCTTAGCTTTTTAGTTCAAGCTACCATTTGAGCTATACCTCCATTTCAGACTTTTTGCTGGTTAATTAGAACTAAAACTGAGTTTGATTATAGGTGCTAGGCTTTAAGAGTGGTTTAGGAGGGATTAAATAAAACTAGACCTGGACTGGTCTCTAACCTTGAATGCTATAGGTAAAACCTAAGGAAGCCAAGTCAATACTCTTTTGTGCATGATTCTGTGAGTCGTGAAGGAGCTGGGCACGCTACTTGAAAATTTTCACTCAAGGTTTTAACTTTACTACTTGGGCCCCAGTGCAGTTCTGACTTTTTCTGGTGGCTCATTGGAGGTAAGAGTCTTCAACTCAAGGCTAGCGCTCTACCACTTGAGCCACAGTGCCACTTCCAGCTTTTTTTCTTTTCGCTTATGTGGTGCTGAGGAATCGAACCCAGGGCCTCAGGCATGCAAGGCAAGTGCTCTACCACTGAGCTACCTTCCCAGCCCCCTTTTTCTTTCTTTTTTGGTAGTACCAGGGATTTAACTCAAGGCCCAGTGTGGTTCCTTAGCAAATACTCTGGCATTGACATTTGAGCCACACCTTAAACCTATCAAAGATTTAACACATCCCCACCCATTTCATTTCACCTGGTTGGATTAAGGCCTGGGCAGTAAAATTTCTTTTCAGCCCAGGGAGTGTAAAAATCAAGCACAAACTCATCTCATCCTTCAGGTGACTGGAAGGTCCTAACTTTGAGGCCAGCCTGGGCTATACAGTGAGAACCTGTCCTTTCCCCCAAAAAAACCTGGCACTGACAGATCACACTTCCTACTCAACAGGCTGAGATCTGATTGTTGTTTGAAACCAACAGGCAGGAAAGTGTGAAACTATCTCCAACTAACCAACAAACAGCCAGAAGTGGTGCTGTGGCTCAAGGGATAGAGACTTGCCTTCAGCAAAAGCAGCTCTGGGACAGTGCCCGAGCACTGAGTCCAAGCCCTAGGGCTGGCAAAAGGAAAAAAAAGAACTGGAAGTAGCACTGTGGCTGAAGTGGTAGAGTGCTACCACTTAAGTGAGTGGGTGAGCACAAAGAAGACTCAGGGACAGCCACCGACAAAAGAGTGAAAAACAAACCAAAAAACCTCTCAGGAACAGTGCCCAGAGTTCAAGCCCCAGAATCAGCACCAAAATATAAAAAAAAAAAAAATTAAAACAAAAAATGTATGTGAAACCACACACAGGTACCAGAGCCTGAACCCCGCCTCAGGCTCTCTAGGTCAGTCCTGGCTTCTTGGCCTGGCTCTGAACCGGCTTCCGAGCGGCTGGGCTAGGAGTCGGCTGCACCCACTGAGACCAGTGTTTTTCTAAAGTTTTCGCGGGGCAGAGCTGACCTGCCTCAGTCTCCCCAGGGGGGCCGTGCGGCGCCCCTGGGCCTCTGTGATTGCGGGGTGCCGAGGACTCGAACCCCGGACTCCCAGCCGCCCCCACCCTGGCGGGTGTTCTCCGGGAAAGGGCGGTAGACCCTTCGCCCGGTGAGAGACTGGAGGGGCGGCGGGCCGGGCAGGGGTCCCGAGGCCCGGGCAGGGTCCGAGCAAGGGCCCCAGGCAGGGTCTGGGCAGGGGTCCCGAGGCCCGGGCAGGGTCCGAGCAAGGGCCCCAGGCAGGGTCTGGGCAGGGGTCCCGAGGCCCGGGCAGGGTCCGGGTAGGGTCGCGGGCAGGGCCCCGGGCAGGGTCTGGGCAGGGGTCCCGAGGCCCCGGGCAGGGTCTGGGCAGGGGTCCCGAGGCCCCGGGCGGGGTCTGGGCAGGGGTCCCGAGGCCCGGGCAGGGTCTGGGCAGGGGTCCCGAGGCCCGGGCAGGGGTCCCGAGGCCCGGGCAGGGTCCGGGTAGGGTCGCGGGCAGGGCCGCGGGCAGGGTCTGGGCAGGGGTCCCGAGGCCCGGGTAGGGCCCCGGGCAGGGGACCCGCGTGGGTCACTCACAGTCCGGGCAGCAGCCGTTGAAGGCCATCCTGCAGATGCCGCAGTTCTCGTCGTTGGCCACCCACAGCCAGGTGGCCACGCCGTTCCAGCACTTGATCTTCACCTTCATGGCGCCGGGGCCTGCGGGAGGAGCACAGCCCGCTGCAGCGCGGTCCGGGGGCGACGCCTCGGGGACCCGGGGACGCCGCCCCACTCCCGGGGGGCCGGGGCTA